TAATCGGCATTCCTAGTTGATATTTGCATTAAGCAAGTGAAACCTTGATACGTTCGATAACTGTGTGCCTATTTTAAAAGCACAATGACATCATGTTTTCTTGTATACTTATTAAAACAATAAATTCTTAAATCCTACCTCTAAATCAACAGCTAATTCATTAACAGTTTTTAAATCCAAAACCATCAAATTCAATTGTTCTTCAGTATATACTTCAACAAATTTTGTGTCTTCTAGTGAAGCAGGCTTTACAGCTTTTGAGACTTTTAAATGTTCTACTGGAACCTTAAATTCTTCTAATTCTAATTGATATGGATGTTTATAACTAAAGAAAAATGAATTTCAAAGTAATTTTTTTTGTACATAGAACTATGAAATATAACCACTTACAACATGATTCCATCTTCATTTGTTTCCAAACACAAATCTAATGGTATTTTACTGTTTGGTTTACTAGTAAGAAGAGGTTTAAATGGAACTGGTCTATTATCAACTTTGATCTTGAATTTTATTTGTGGTCTTTCAATATTACGGCCATGTACTAATATCTTTTTTTTGTTTACTGCTTGTGTATTATCAGTAGATTCTGATACAAAAGCTTTAGGGGTAACAGATACACCCACATTCTTGAAAGATCCATTTAATGTATCAATATTGTGAGTCTATAAAAAAAAATATTATAGGCTGTTCTTAAAATAAATATTAAGCACATTAGGTATACCACTCGGTCTAAGATTGTGTCATTTCCTTCCTCAATAAGTTCAAATTGACGATCAGCATCTTTACCTCGAATATTACCAGGGATTTTTTGATTTTTCAATAATGCAGATATTCTGTAATTCAAGAAATTCAATTTATATAAAGTAGTATAATATTAATATTTATTAATGATTTGTATTATGTAATTATGAACATACAATTTGAGAACATGATTTTGACGTGAAGAAACAGCTTTTTTAAATTTAGGGTAACTGCTATAAAAATTCCAGTTCACCCCACTAGGCAAATTGTTAGAGGCTCGAGTGCCTTCAATAACTGTTTTGAAATCACTCTGCAAAATAATGTACACATAATATAATTCATGTTATTGATATTAAATTACATACAAATACCAAAAAGTAGATTTTTTACATTCATGTTATATATCTTTAAGTTGAAATATTATTTTCATATCTTTAGGTTATACAATAGTAGTAAAATATAAATATGTATTGATATCTTTTTCTTTTTTCAGTATGATTTACATCAAGTCTTCCAAATAAAACACATTATTTGAAATTAACAAGTGAAAAATGCAAGGTGCTAATGTTTATAGCATAGGCAGAAATCTATTAAAACTTCAGAGGGGCTAACGTTAGTATCATCAATAACAGCGGTATGTGCTTCGATCCCACGCAACTAAGAGGCTGTCTTTTTTTGGGGTTCTAGGCCTCCTTATTTCCACATAATATGGTGTATAGTTAAGATCTTAAAAGTAGTAGAGCAACTTACCATTTTATTTTAATTGTGGTCAAGTGTATACCGCAGTCTCATGACACGGCGAAACGGGGTACGCGAACTTGAAGCTTACACTCGTGGAATCACCGACTAGGGACCAGAGTGCATCGTGCTAAAAAGTAAAATGCTTATCAATTATAATTTATCAACAAAACTCAAAATTCAAAAAACGTGTAGTGATTACGATTACAGGTTGGCAAACTGTTTGTGTTTCAGTGTAGGAAGAGCGAACAATAATTTGGTATAAGCCATGGTTGAAATTTAGAACACGATGTAGATCCATTATTCAATTAATCTAGCAGTAAAGAACAATGTTAGTGCAAGCAATTAGTAGGTGTCTATAATATTGAAATATTGAGTATTGTTTTATCATTGATTAATTTGATTTAGTGTATTGTAGTGTATACTAATTATTTAAACATTGGTTATGTTATGGTAGACTCGTATGTATAATATATTATTGTGTTTGTGGTCTACAGTCACGGAATTATAGATTACAGAATATGAGAATAATACAAAATATAAGTTTAAGCTTGGCTAGGTAAAGGGCAGTGATGGATTCGGGAAAAATAGAAGGGTGGTTCAAAAGTATGAAAAAATGTGTGTGTCTGAATATTTAAATGTCTTGTTGATTGAGATATAATTAAAAGTGGTACGCATTATTAATATTTTTTAAAAAAGAGAGGGACTTCGCCTACTGGCGATCACTAGTCAGTACAAATTATGGATCATGAGTCTTAGGAAATTAGGAAATATAATATTTCATCCCCTTGACCATCTATAGAATCCTGCGAGCTGTGCCATAATTTGTAAACATTGCTACTTAAATCATATACATAGTACTAAGTAATCTAAGTATCGAAATCGAAAGTATGAAACCATACAAAATTAAAAATAACATTGATACTCAATAGTCAATACTTTATGCTAACAACTAATTAAATATGTAGAAAAAAAATTGTGATTTGAATTATATGGTCAATTACTGATGAATTTGGATCTGATAATCTATAATCACGATTATGAAGAACCTATTTTGTATAAATGTAAACTCTTTACTAATTACTATAGCATAGACGCGGCACGCTGGCCTAATTTAATAAAATATAGATTAATATTAATAAGCGGTCCACACACCATCAATATTCGATAGGTACCTATACATAATTATGCTACCTACAAAAATACGTTTACAATAATCATTGTTTTATATGTCTAATAGAAGTATTCTACTAGACGTAAATAATTCATAGACATTCGACTGATTCGAGACTTCCACATAGACATATATACCCAAGTTTGACGTCTCGTAGCCTTGACATGTTTACTGGGTACTGTCTACTGACAATATCAAGGTCGTATGTGGGGGGGGGGTCAACCCCCCCGAAATTTTTACACTATATTAAATTACCTATAAAATATTATAATAAAATTAGAACACATTTTTTTTTTGCTTAAAACCCCCCTGAAATTAATTTCCAGTTACGGCCTTGGACAATATTATTGATATATTGCTTTGGTTATATTTAAGGTATGTTCAATACATTGAAAATGTCAAAATCGTTTTGATATTTATAGAAGGGTTTTTATTGATGTTCAACACGATGAAAGATGTACCCTAATCCCTTAATCGTGATATTCAATAATATTGACTGTGTATGGAGCCCTCAACTCTAAGCGCAGGACTACCTTGGTATTTTCCGATGTTATTCATAAGCGCAACTGGGGACGTTTTTCTGAGAAAGGGGGGATTGTTTTCTGCAGTGCAAACTTTGAAAATTATAATTTTCAACTAAAATATTATGATTAAAAAACATGGGGTGCTACGGCCTAAACGGATAAACTTTGACTACGGGCGACGGGCACTTTCCCCTCCCCTCTCCCATGCACCCTTCTGTATCCCCCCTTGTTCTAATACGGCCATACAGGGTCGTGATTAGGTATTTACTCACTGTGTAAAAAACAAGCAGAAGTGTTAGTTTAAATTTAAACTGTAGTACACCTGAATGGTTGATAAATAATAACAATTTATAATAAATTGACAATTAATGGTTAGGTACCACCAAATAATTTTTTATTTTATACTTAAATTATTGTCCAATTATTATTTTTCATATTGGATTAGAATTTTATTGTGCTCTAAAAAAAATTAATTATGAAGAAATCTTAGTAATGGATGAGCAGTAGGTAAATTTAAGTAGGTATGTAATACTTTAATTGTTTTTTGGGTAAACTTTAAACTTAAAAGTATTATCATTTGCTTACCCCCCCCCCCTACACATAGGTATGCGCACGACTATTTATAGAATAAACATCAATTCAGATTACAGCTAATGATTTACGGCCGTACGCCCGTACCACATATCTAATAGATTATATTATTATTATGATATTAAGAGGATATCAATTCAAATTAATGTCAACGCAATATTTGTTTTCTTAGACCTTCAGTTCAGTATCTTCCGAGTTCCGACCCACTTACAACATAGATAAGCTTTCACTTAAAATCTTTTTTTATTATTTTTGAGTAATCTTAGAGTAAAATCACCTATTACAAACATTGTAGAGAATAATATTGCGAATGACATATCGATTTATATTTTACTATTACTTGACTTCGTATTCCACTTAAAAATAAAAATTGTTAATTTAAATTATGATTAAATTCTTTTAAGATAATATTAATGAGACAAATCGATGTCATTCCCTCAAAAATTGTGTTTTCTATCGATTTTGTGATGAGTAATTTTACTCTAAAATTATTCAAAAACACAAAAAGAATGACTCTTCATTCTTCACGTCTTGTTTATGATACGCGTGATGGGTCAGAGGGCAGTGAGAGAGAAAACAAACAGTGCGCTGACATCCTCTTAAATCTTTATCTCTTTTGTTGCTGTACTTTGTAGCCTGTAGGTAATAACAATTTAAAATTTCCTATATCCTATGGTCATCGGACTACTAATTAAGTGTCCGAGGTACTCCGGCACATTGGTCCAATTACGCGTTCAGGCGTTCTATTAATATTCAGAGTGGTATAATTTATACGTGTGTGTTATTATGAAACGTTTACACAACGTATTCCCCCGTGCACTGTTTGACCCGAATCGATCAGATTACAGCCGAGGCGTTTGTTGTTGTTGTTGTTGTTGTTGTTGTTGTTAATGATGATAAGGTGTAACAATAATAATAAATATTAACGCGTTCGCTTCCGGGACTTTAATCTGTTCGGTAGCCTTGGTGCAGTTGGTCGGCACAAATGACGCTCGTTAGTCCGTCTTCTACACCTACGCAAAACTATGTATGTGCCACGGGTTTTTACTTTTTTCCCGTTCGATGCGGAAAAACAAAATACGATTATTACATTTTTGCGCCGATTGCAAACTTAGCGGCTGACGTCACCGACGGCACCGTCCAATCGAAAACTTTTGTACGTTCCAACTAAATACAGACGATTATCAAGTTCGACGTAATACTTATTACTAATTACGATTAATGTTTAATATATTGTCGTGACGTGCACATGTCCCTACGATTACCACCCCCTTAACCGCGGCTTGTCACGTCTCCAACTCGTCCGCAGGCCGTCGTTAGCACTGCACTTCTGCGTATAGGTACTCGCTACTCAGTACTCGTCAATCGCTATCACGAATTGAATATCGAAGTATCAATCATTAATACAATATCGTCGTACTTAATTCGTGCTCGGCAGTCGGCGCGCGCGCTTTTGTCTTTGGTGGTGGCAAATACGAGTTAACGAATAAACGACTGATAGTCGATTTCGTTTTATCCGTTTAATTGCTCCGTGTCGTCCGAACCGACTGCAAATCTCGTCCGCCGATCGCGTTCGTCGTGTTTCGTATTTTCGTGTCCTCAGTCCTCACTCCGCATCCGCTACCCACACCCACCCGTCCACTCGTCACAACAGCTGACCGCTGCCGCAGCGTCGTCGTCACCCACTGACCCACCGTCGGCCGCCGCGTCTTTTATCATTTGTCTATGCATTACACTCTGTAGAGATTGCTAAACCTTCCCCCGCGATTCATCGATATCATTATCTTCTCACCATCCCTCCGCCGTTCCGTTTACTCGTCCTCGCGCACTGCCCGTAATGTCGGTTTCGGCCGTGAACAGGATCGGACTAAGGGCCAAGATATGGAACTCACTGACCGGTCGGGTGGGCCCGAAGACGTATTTCACGTACACGCCCCAAGTGTCGCAGGTATTGGACCGCGAGCCCAAGTGGGTGAACGCCGACGAAGCCGTCCAGTGCATCAAGTCCGGTAATAGTGCATTTTCAGTTCTCGCTAATTGTCTGTCCCTGTCGCAAATATGCAACATTTTCATGGTGAGGGGGGGGGGGGGGAGCTTCGGTCCCGTGATACTATTTTATAACTTGTGGTAGTAATAAGTAATAACCCTGTAGTGAAAAATGTAATAAGTGTGTCTAAAGTCTATGCGTATACTATACCCTTGGTTTGGGTGATTTGATAATATATTTTTTAGGGGGGGGGGGGTTGTATGGTTAAGACAATCCTATCCGTAGCAATTCCTAACGCTACAAAAACGCTTGAAAAATTTCAATTTTTTGGGTGGAGGTCCATCTGATTATCATTACTAAATTCAATCACAGTTGACAGGTTATGATAATGATATAGGTATTATATTACATTACTCTATGACTATAAGGCTTTAAGTATGCCCCTATACAAAAACTTTTCTGTCCGTGGGTAATATTATTTATGTTTGAGAAATATTAAGCAGCTCGTGTCACTAACCAGCCGTGTAACAATTGTTCACTTTAAATCATTATTTTCTTGACCCTTTGAACTTTTACATTATAACTAACATCATTGATAGGTAAATGTACACATTACACTACTACATACTAAGACAATCAATACAAATTGATTCAAAAGGTTTTTTACAAACTAGGTGTACATATTAAGCAATATTTTTCTTTCTCATGCTGAGTTGAAAATAATTTTGTGTCCGGTTTCATATAGGTATAAATTGTCAAGGTTAAAGTAACAAAATTGTGTTATGCAAATTTGAAATTCATTTTAATTCAACATTATTATATAAACCAACATTGAAACTGGAAATATGTACTTTTTTTCAATGAAGATAATAGGAAATATAATTATTGCACCTCAAAGTTTTATAATTTGCATAAAATTAAAATATTATTTATGGCAAAACTGACAACTATATGCCTGAGAAATATTGATATAAGTAAATAAATTCCTATGTACTTTTCACAGAGTATCTAATAAAGATAGTATTCACATTCCTATTAAAAATAGAAATTACAAACTAGAAAAATGTATTAGAGTAGATATTAGTAGATATACAGTGACGCAGTGTAGTTGTACAAATAGACAATAGTTGATAGATGCAATTAAAAGTTGTTATTAAAATTCAGAGTATTTTTATTTCAACTTGAATAATAATGTTATTTATTATATTTTAATAATTACTTTGTAGAATGAGAAACAAATAACAAATGAGAACATTAATGTAAATTGTATTAATTAGACGCTTTTTGGTTATTTCAGTTCTAAAAATGTATTTTGTTTACAGGTGACACAGTTTTTGTGAGTGGTGCTGCTACTACACCAATTGAAATCCTCCGTAGCATGACTGATCATGGAAAACAAAAGCAATTAAAAAATATACGTGTATGTAGTATTCATACTGAGTTTGAATCTCCTTATTCAGCCCCAGAATGTGAAGGTGAGCAAAATGTTTATAGTTTTATAATTCAAACATTTAAAACAATTTCTTATTTTAGGAATATTTCGACCAATGGCTTTTTTTATTAGTTCCAATATGAGGAAGTGTATAAATGAAGGTCGTGGTGATGCTGTACCAATATTTTTACATGATATACCCTATGTATTTGAACGAAATGTTATACCAGTAGATGTATCAATTATCTCGGTAAGGAAATTAGACTAATATTTATTCAAAGGCCACAGTGCTGTTTGTTATCCATTTTGACCATAACCATTCATCGTCATTTAATTATAACCTTAATAAGATATAAAATAGTGACAAAAGTCTCAGTTAGTTATAGTTAGTATTTATTATTTGTATAGCTGCAAGCAATTACTTTGTTTTTTATTTTAAGCTTAGAATCATAACCTGTTTATATTTACATAATAAGTCATATATTTTAATTTCATTATAATTTAACATACAATTTTGTAGGAAGATTATATTTTTGGGTTTAATGGTTATTGTAAATATTATTTATATTTACATAAATTATCTTGATTCATTTGAAAGTTGTTCCATGGTATTAATAAACTTCAATTTATTTTTATTAATAGCCGTTGTTTTACATATTGTAAAAGTAAAAACATCCAATTTTTATATTTCGTTAAAACAGGCATTTATTATTAAAAATAAATATTATTAAGCAAACTGTCCTTGAGATTTGTGGCCACTTTTTACTATAAAAAAAATAAGTTTACCGTTCTTCTATTTACTATGTAGGTTTATGAGATTCAAAATAATTAATAAATATAATTTTAATTATTTAATAATTGAATGACTTATAGTCGGGTTAGGTAAAAGTTATCAAAGAATAAAAATAGAGATAACATTTGTAATAGAGGTGAAGTAATAACTTACAGTGCAAATAGTGTAATAAAATATTTAGTTTATAGTAATCACTTATCTCACTAATTTTACTATCAGGATATAGACTATTTTATTATATTTAGATATTTCTTTATATTTTAATGTGAGAAAGTTTCTAAAATTGAACATTGGACCTAAGATCATTGATAAATGCTATTTTTGTTAAAAAATGAACATAAACAATAGTATTCATGTATTAGTAGTCAATTTATGAAAATAAATAATATACACATTTTAATCAAATTCAAATTTATTTTTTATTACTTAATAATAAGTGCATATTAAGTTTTAACCTTTGAACACTATTATTTTAAATTAAATTGTATCATTATACTTGCAATTGAATGAGTAATAAAATATATATGATTATTTGTATGAAATATTAACTCTCTATAGTTTATACACAATAGATTTAAAAGGGATAATGGTGAAATGGTCTTCACTATTTTACCAAAATATAGATATTATCAAATATTAACTAAGATTAAAAACAATATTATGTGTTTTGTAAAAACAATATTTCATCTCTTAAGAGGGTTATATATTACAATAAAATATAACCAAAAACTTTTGTTAACAAATCATATTAAGAGTATGTAACAGTGGCATTTGTTGTCTCTATTTTACAAGTGCGTAACATAGCAAATTTATGCTCAGCAGAACACATGCAGCTTCGTTAGTTTAAACTTAGAGTGAATTGACCTATTATGAAACTTGATGGTAAGAACATTATCTGTGTTTTTATGTTATTTTTTTTCGATAGTTCAATTTTTTTAGCAAGTTATGCGTGTATAGTATAGCGTAAGTTAAAAATGCTCATAACTCACTTGAAAATTTAACTATCAAAAAACTAAACTACTAACACAGATAATTTTCTCACCATCAAATTTCATCGATTCACTCCAATTATGAATGAAGTTATATGTAATCTGCTGAGAGTAATTTTGGTATGTTACGTACATCTTGTGAGACGAAGACAACAAATGCCAGTGTTACGTCTTCGTAATGTTGTCTGTAATTAAAGTAATTAAGTATCAAATATCAATTTGTTGAGACATTTATAATATTACATAACATTATCTATAAAACAATCGGGTTTTATTTATAATGAACTATAATATTATTATATTAGTTCAAAGTTCTATAAAAACAATATAAATATTTTTAATTTAAGCTTATTTTGCTTTTCTAGTGAAACCGTTTAATTTGATTATTTATTTCAGGTATCACCTCCTGATCATCACGGTTTTTGCAGTCTTGGAACAAGTGTGGATTGCATTCGTTCAGCTTTAGGGAAATCAAAAATAATTATTGGTAAGCCAAATATTGATTTAACATTTAAACTCCTATATTTTTGTGATGTTTTTTTTTTAAATTTAGCACAAGTAAATAAATGTATACCACGCACATTTGGTGAAGCTATCATCCATCAATCACATATTGATTATGCTGTTAGACATGACCGTGAATTACCAGCTCATGAACACAAAGATCCAAACCCTACTGAAACAGCTATTGGCAAACATATTGCTGATAACCTTGTTGAAGATGGTGCCACTCTGCAAATGGGTATTGGTGCAATTCCAGATGCCACACTCACCTGTCTAAAAGATCACAAGGATTTAGGAATCCATTCAGAAATGTTCAGTCTTGGTGTTATTGATCTAGTCAACTCTGGGGTTATAACCAATCATAATAAAACATTTGATAAAGGACTAATTGTAACAAGTTTCTTAATGGGGAACAAGAAGTTGTATGATTTTGTTGACAACAATCCATTAATATGTAATGCATTTTTAATTGATTGATTAATGTGTATAAATATATACCTAATTGTATAAATATTTTGTAGGTATGAGGCAAGTATCATATACCAATAATGTACATATAATATCTCAACAACCAAAAATGACTGCAATTAATTCTTGTATTGAAGTAGACTTGACTGGACAAATTGTGTCTGGATCTATTGGATATAGATTATACTCGGGTAAATAAAATATAAGAAAATAAGCTAATAAATGATAATGAATAGTGGTTAATTAATATCTTTTTTAGGGTATGGTGGTCAAGTAGATTTCATTAGAGGAGCCGCTGAAGGTTTCGATGGTAAGGGTAAACCTATTATTGCTCTAGGTTCTGTGAATCCCAAGACTAAGGATGCCAGAGGTTTGCCAAGTAGTAAAATTGTGCCTAAAATTCAAGAAGGTAAAATATATTAAGTGTACACATATATTTTTAACACTAATGTCATGTAACTATTTTATAGGAGCTACGGTAGTTACTACCAGTGCACATGCACATTATGTTGTAACTGAATTCGGTGTTGCATCATTATTTGGGAAGAGTTTGAGACAACGAGCACATGCCTTGATAAATATAGCCCACCCTGACCACAGAGAATGGTTAGAAAAAGAATCATTTAACCGTTTAAAAGTTATGCCGAGTGCATGAGCATTATTTTATATTGTTTATTCAATATTTCAATGTATTATTATTTTTGTTTAATTAATAATTTATTTACCCGAGTAATATTATGATGTATTCTTGTTCATATGCTTAATATCATATTGAGTATAAAATATTGATGTATCATACATTTTTTACTCTGTGGTAATTCATAATTGGTTTATTTTTTAATTATTTTTTTTTACTAAAAACTTGCATATGTTATTGAGTCATTAATAAAATGTTTATTTAAAAATATTCTCAATATTCTCCATAAATAAATTAATGAGGTAAATATAATTTTCTTAACATGATGTATATTTCTATGTAAAACAGAAATAGTGTTGTGGATCTCAATGTTATTACAAAAAACTAAAATCTTATAATTTTGATTGGTCATTCAGATTATACCTAATCTGTTGCTATAATCAATAATTAAATAAGGTATTCTATTTTCATAAAAATAAATAATAATAAATGTATTTTGACTATTATGTGTAAACTACTTATTCAAATTGTAATGTTTATTATTTTATTAAAAATAGCATCAAATCTGAAGTATGTTTTAATGTTTAACATAACCTTTTAAATAATATATTCAGTTTTGGAAAAAAAAAATTACCAAAAAAATGGTTAATGGTTAAAACTTAATACAAATAGGGCTATTATTTAAAACTGATATATTTTGATAAATAATTGTTTTTTTGATGTGTCAATATTAAACAATTAAGTTGATTGTATTATTGATGTTAAAATAAATACAATTTAACTGTGAAAAATACTTGTTTGAGTAATTTTACCTAACTATCACTTGTCAGTGATTAATTTAGTTTAAGTGTTGCAAAATGGAATACATGTATACGTTTTGAAATGAATTAATTTTACCATAAACTTAATCCTTATATACTTTAATCACAGAGTATTTTGCATAGTATTGTACCAATATAATCAGTTTGAAAATGTTGTTACATAGAAAGTTCAGTGGCTGCAAACCTTACTCGCTCCCACTTATTTTTATAAGTATTTGTTGAGGTTTCAAAAATATTTGTAGGTGAATTTACATAATGACATTTATATTATATTCGTCCAATCAGCGTCTGTGTACTTCCTTGAATCAGGTTTTCTGTCATTTAATCAAAGCATAAATATAATGAATACTTAAAATAAAGAAAATTGAGTAGGTATCAAAGCTATCAAAAAGTCTCTTGGCATTGCAATAGCAGGGATATATCCCCTCCCCCCCTTGGCTGAATTTTTGTCATATTAAATTTATAATAATAAATAGAAGTATATTTATTATTTACTACTGTAGAGGATGTTCTGAGAATAGTCAAAAATGCATATACTCTCCACTTTCAAAAAAGCTGAGCACGTCAAAGGGTAGTAGGTACAATATTATATGGTACCTATGTCAAACTCATTGACCATATTACTATTCACTACGGTACAATGTAATTTTTAATTTTTAATAGCTTAAAAAGTACAATGTTATTTATTATAATATGCAATTCAAAAGACAGTTAGGGAGGTGCCTACTTAATAGTAATCAGCATTCCATCCAAATTAGATTGAAACTATTAGGTATTGAATTTGACAAACAAAGATATATGAATGAATTAATATAAATGTATTAATTATAATTACAATTTTTATTAAAGAAGAAAGCCTGGATGACTGGGTCAAAATTTGCTTGTTTTACACGGTTCAGGTACAGTCCTGCGCAGTTGCCTGGGGCGCTAATTTTATTGAGGCTCCTTACGCTATAGGAGTATCCTTATGAATACTTTATACATTTAATTGTAATGTTTATCCAAATTGACAATAATATAATATTAGCTGAATTATCCACGACAGAAAATTCTGTTACATAATTTTTATATAGATTTTAATAATAAGTCACTTTCCACTAAAATATTACAAATAATTTAAAACTAATAAAAAACCAAAAACGTATTTCAATTGTAGAGGCCAGGGACATGAAAATGGGGCAAATACGAAGGACAAAAATAATGGCGTTCAAGCACGAATATTAAGAACTAATTTTCGAGCTTTTTAATGCCAAGTGGTTGCCACTCAGTGAGTAGTCAGAGACAGTGTTTATTGTTCTAATGAGTCAAAGAACTTTTTTGGAGACGATTCAAAGAATTAATGTTTTATTCTTTGCATCTGTTGGACGTTGGCACATCTTAAAAGAAGCATGTAAAATCATTAACTGTTAAGCCCCTGCCTCCTATGTGAAACTCGATGGGGATGTAACATAGATTGTATTAATGCTATTAAAAACGAAATCTCACAAATAATAGATGCACAAATAGAATTAACTGAATTAAATACTTCTGATCATTTAATTATTTCTGAAGCTAATTCATTAATTAAATCCATAGAGAGGTTCGATATTTTAGTTTTGTTGCGTTTTTTGCAAAATATTTTATCAAAAGTTAACCTTGTCAATGCAAAGTTTAAAAGGAGATGTTAGGACCGCAGTTTTAATTTTGGATAGTTGTACAAAGGTTTTAGAATTTAAAATCTAGAGAAAATGTATATTTTAAAAATATGTATCATTATTATATTTTAAGATTAGAGAAATAATTTTAATACATATTCATTGTAAATAATAATAATAAATTGCTGTATTCAATTGCAAGTGCAATCCTTTACCTATTCATAATTATGAGATTTTGAATGAAATATGCAGGTAAGTATAAAAAGTATTTAATATATTATATAGAATTTATTTAAGGGCGCCTTTCAAACAATTGTCCGGGGACATTTTGCACGTTTGATATTTTCAGTTATTTTTCTTTTATTGACAATAAAATAAAATCCACAATAGTTTTTACTGAGCTTTTGTATAGTTAGAATTTCGACAAAACTATGCAAGATCGTGATAACTTGAAAAATTATGTACGTTGTGACCAATACCTAGTGAAAAATGCATAGACAATTTTCTTTATAGGTACATCTAAGGTCTAAAACTTAATACAAGGTTCCTCATAAGTTGTTATTGTAGATATTTAATGTTATTGTCCGTATTTGCTTATGGACGTATACAATGAGTTATCATTTGATTAAAAATTTGATCAAATACTATTAATTAAAGAGGTACCGTTGATACATACGAATGTAGGTAGATACTAGATACTATACTACTATACAGCAAAGTGCCTTTCCAAGATTTTTATTTTGTTTCTATATCCATAAGTATTTAAGTATACAGGATGTAAAAAAAAGACCTGACGAATAAAAATAAAAAATTGATACTAGTTAAATTGTTAAACGTATGAAAAAATTTATGAAAATTATGTGGATAATTGATTATTAATTAACAAGTATACTTATTATGTCACCAAAAAAGTTATTTTGTAAAGTTATTTGGTACGTTTAAAATTAAATTACTTCGAAAATTGTGAAAAATACCTACTCGACTTAAACAAACGTGTTTTACAATCAAAATTTGTCTACAGATTAAATTCTCAAAATAGCTATTTTGAATTTTTTCAAAAAAATGTAATACAATTTCTATGACCTATGAGTACCTACTACCTATTACCTATACATGGATTATAGCTTACATGCTATATTGGTATTACATTTATATAGGTTTATTTTAATGTGTGATCTTACTGACGCATAATATAATACATACCAATTCGTCGGTAATACGTTCATAATAATCCATTTCACTGTGTTTTTTTTAATATTAAAGTGAATTTAAAGACCCATATGGGTATTATAGTACATATTATTATCAATTTGAGTGCTACGTGTAAGTTTTTAACTAAATTTTAATAGTACATGAAAACATTTTTAACGTTGAAATTTCAATTCTGCGCGGACTCCATAACCCAGGTTTTCTTGTTCATATGAATATATGATAACGACATCTTGACCATTTTCGTGTAAACATGTAGGTTACGCCCTCGATGTGATGATTTATTGTTGCTTTCAAGTATCTATATAATATGAAGAGGGAATATAAACCCACGGCCCTTGTGAGTAGCTGTGACTCTTGTATGGTCTTGCATAATTTTTTTTTTAATTTGAGTATTTGTTTATGCATAATATAATACTTACGCAGTATCATTCAACGTAAAATATCACACTTGGTCCCTAAGTACTAAAACGAGGAAAATTTTATACCAACATGCGGGCGTCATTTCATCCTTGAAATTTTTTTTTTTACTTAAATTTTCATTTGGACAAACAACAATAATGTATGCTGCTTACTAGGTACTGTCATTGAAAATATTTTATTTATTCTTTAATAATAAACATTTATTATTTTTATTTCAGTTATTTATTCTTAATATTCACGGCGAGTCCATAATATCATTACCAGGGAATACCATGGTAATTGCAATTACCAACCTGGTGTGGTATTATTGCAGGTCGCATATATAATATGTCGAAGGCAAGTGATGAAGTGACTGGTACATGGCTGATACGAATCTCCTTAACAATTTACAATAAAAATGATAGTTTTCGTTTGAAAAAAATAAACATGAAAAGTCTAATAACTGCTTGAGAATATGATCCTTATAGATTGTTTACTCTAATATTTTTTTAAGCATACATACTCAAAAATTCCAAACATCAGAATTTAAAATAAATAAATTATTAAAGGAAAACATTTGGGGGAGTATCATGTTTGGCGAATCGTTATATATTATAGGCACCTACTCTGCACATCATCAGCATACCAATATTATAAGAGGGATCCCAGTGAAGCCTCCCCCATATAACAAATTATCATCCCCCCTCTCAAAGTGAAATAATTGAATCAATGCTTATTATACAGAGTTTTGGCAAATTAGTATAATTATATACTTCAGCGAGGCTTCAATTAAAATAACGGGTAATGTATAAATATATATGGGAATATTATGGTCGTATAGGTTACCATCGGACAAAAATTGCATTTCTTAAAAATATAAATACGTCATAAGCGATGTAACGCACAATCACAGGATTAATTTAGTATAATAATATTGTATTATAGTATCCGAGGGTATATTATATAATATTATAGTAACACGACTACGTTCATAAGTACCTACCCACACTTCGTTGCCCACAAAATGATCATAATTGTATGGGTATAATACATGTAATATTATTAATATAATACTCTATACATGTATACGATTATAAGAGCCCGCGGGGGTGGCGGGCACTGGAGGGACCAAGGGTTGGTTTTTGAGAGGTCTTGAGTACTGACGCGACGGTCCCTCTCACGTTTGTATCACACGATTTATTGGCCCGCACTTGAACCATATTATATAATATAATATACGTGCGCATAAATAACACCCTTTGTAAATTGTAACGCTCATCCTACTCGTAATCGGGTAAATATTTATTCGAATGGCGTGTATTATGGCGTGGGCACACTGCGGTATTTCGATTTATAAAATATATCGTATTATTATCCACGGGAGAGTATCTTTAATATGTCCTCGCACGAATTGTAGGATTAAAAAAAATAATCGATATTTATTGGGTATACGAATAATATTATAATGTATATATATATACATCGTATATTACATATTATGTTA